AGTGAATAAAATGGTGGCTACTACAATTTTTTATGGCACATAGTACTCGCACAGCAATTTTTCAAATGCAAAAGCACAATATATTGGCCAATTATTTGGTAAAATATAAAAGATAATGGTATGCCGAGTAAATACCGCGCTGAGTAACAGTCCGTAATGGGGAATGTAGACATCCAATAGGTTGACGGTTTCGAGGACTTGTCTATTGGATGAACCTGAGGAAGTCACGAGGTGCGTGACGCAACGCGACGGTTGGTACGTCACTTCCGGTGACGCGTGTCCGGACGCCGCGGCCATCTTGGATTCCCCCTGTAATATACACGATTACCCAGAGGATGTGGTAAAAAGGCCTGTATGAAAATTCTACAATGTGATTGCAATACTTTATTTATCTTTTCATGTTACAATAAAATACTACACTATGGAAAGTTTTTTGTATTCACTATATATCGGGGAGTGGAGATAAGTGAGAAGATATCCGGGAAGGAGGAGATTGCCAAGTGAGGAGATACCACTGAGGTGGAAATTGCTGTTTGGCCCTGTGTGGGTCTAGGAGGGGAGGTGAGCAGGCATTGCTGCCATTTGGAGGATACATACACACTAGAAGTGGATCACGTTTTATGAGCAGCACACATAGTTGCACTTGCATGGACTGTTTTGCACTAGTGATTGTCTGTTTTATTAATAAATAGAGCAATCGTTTTAAGTGTGATGCACGGATTGGTTTTGCACTTAGGATTATTCTACTTTGAAGGAAAGTATTTATACTTATATCTTTAATTATGGTGTTCACTTGCTTTTAGTATTTTTTCACAAGGATATAGAAGATTAATTATCATATTGAGTGTGATAATCACTTATTTGTGGTTTGTCTATCAGTTTTCATTTGTAATATATGCACTTTTAGTTCTTGTTGAACACATATATATTTTATAGGCATATCACTGTGTATGTTATTTCACAATAGAGGTTTGTGTTCATTTTAAAACCTGATTTTTACTCCACCTGCTGGGAGGAAATGTTATTGCACATGATGCTGATATGATTTAGAGTTTATTTGCACTTGTAATTTAATGCATTTTAGTATAATTTTGTATAGGATTTAAGCACTTCACTATATAATTTTTAATGAACAATGACTGCTCTTTTAAAAATGGTACTTTTTACAAAATATATTTTCACTAATTCATGTCCTTCGGCAATACCTGAGTCCCCATACCCCTTTTATGGTCAATAACTTGCTTAACCACTTCCAGACCGGACACTTTTACCCCCTTCCTGACCAGGGCAATTTTCAGCTTTTAGCGCTATCACACTTTGAATGACAATTGCGTGGTCATGCAACACTGTACCCAAATGAATTTTTTACCATTTTTTTTTAGATAGATAAAGCTTTATTTTGGTGGTATTTTTCACACCACTGGGATTTGTATTTTTTTTGCTATGTAAATGAAATGTCCAAAAATTTTTTAAAAAAGTGTTTTTTTTTTATAAAATTTTGCAAATAAATAATATTTCATCATAAATTTTAAAATTGTTATCTTTTTAGTAAAAAAAAAAAATCCAAATTAGTTTATAAGCAAAAATTATAATTTTTAAACATTTTTTTTTACATTTTTATTTTATTTTTTATTATTATTTTTTATTTATTTATTTTTTTTTTACATACTGTCACCCTAGCAGTACGTGTCACCATGGTGACACTGTACTACTTGTAAGGGGTGATAAAGATTTTTTTTTTTTTACACTGATTGCTTTTACACCCATATAGGATGTAAAAGCAATCATTTCTCTTTCTCTCTGTGTGCACTCCTGCACTCATTGAGAAATACAGAGTGAGCTGTGATTGGTCACAGCTTGTCACATGGTACAAGGCTTTTGTGAATAGCCTTGTACCATGTGACCTCTGTGATCATTCACAGATTTCACACATAGTAAGCAATGATGTCACAAGTGACATCTTGCTTACTACTTTGCATGTGATCACTGATTGGCCAATCAGTGATCACATGATCGGGACCTCGTACAGAGGTCCCGTTCGACGATCGGTGTTTCACTGTGTCCGGAGGACACAGCGGGCACCGGATCGCGGTGCTGCGCGCTCCCAGGGAGCGCGCACAAGCAGGGTGCGGGGAGGCCGTTTATAGACGGCCCCGACCCTGCAGTGCCACCGTCCGGCCGTTTATATGCAACGGCCGGTCGGGAAGTGGTTAAATCCCTCTTGTATTGAACTTTATTGTTACTGTATTGTCTCCCGTTATATTGTAAAGCGCTGAGCAAACTGTTGGTGCCAGGGGCGGACTGACCATTTGGAAACTTGAGCACTGCCCGAGGGCCCGGGTTCAGTAGGGGGCCCCATGATATTCCCCTGGTACCTTTTTCATAGGCTTTTTTTGAGTTTGGGTAAGGACACAGGGGCCCCATGATCCCCTATTGCCCGGGGGCCCCATGATTTGTCAGTCCGCAACTGGTTGGCACTATATAAATCCTGTATAATAATAATAATAGTAGTATAAGCCTTCAAAATGGGCACTTTAGAATTTACAAGTTTGAGTCCCATAGAGTTACATTGAGTTCGAAGTTCGCGGTTTAACATTCAATAGGTTCAAATGTTCAACCGCAAACTGAAACTACTGTAAGGCTTGCTTACACTATTGCGACCTGAAAGGCGCATGACTTACTGTGTGATTTTGCCAGGTGACTTATTGGTGATTTGTTGAGACTTGAGTATTATTTTGAGGCAACTTCCATTAAAGTCTATGGGCACAAGTCGGATAGAAGTTGCCTTGAAGTAGTACAGGAACCCTTTCTAAAGTCAGAGCGACTTCAGTGGTGCTGATTAAGACAGCTCTCATTGACAAACATGGGATTTCACGTGGCATGCGACTTGGGGTCTCACAAGTCGGATCCCAAGTGGTGGCAGTGTGAACCGAGCCTAAGGGAACACTTGTGCAGACACTACTGTAACTGCCTTTTTTACCATCAAAAATAAGTAAAAAATATTTACACAAAACTATACCTGAACCTTTCTTCCCAAACGCACCACAGCATAGCAGATATGGTATGCGTTAGCTCAGGTTGGTGGTGCATTGTGGGTGAAGTGCAAGTATTGTCTAGCTTTAGGTAGCCATGTATGTGTCTAAATCAAATCAAGAGCTAGCCATATACAATTCAGAACACAGATTCCCCCATCTATGCTAAACAGTGTGGATGGAGGAATCTCCCCAACCAGCTATTGTATCCAGACAGCCACGGCACCTGCACCTGTCAGAATACCCAAACAGTAACTGCATCTGATTGGATGCAGTCACTTTTCAGCTGATAGTTTTCCACCCGGCTCCTTCAATTTTTTTAATGTGACTTTTGTGAAGCCACTATTCTAAGGCCTGGTTCACATCAATGCGTTTTTTAGTACTTTTTGCAGAAATGCACTACAGTCCATTTAACATGGTTTCCTATTAGTACACATTCACATCTATGTTTTTTTGAGCTGCTGCATTTCTGGAAAGGGTCACAGATTTTTTTTTTAAAAGCAAAAAGCAGCATTTTTGCTACAATAGTGTTCAATGGGGAAATGCATAGTAGTACATTTTTGCCATGTTTTTGCCACATCTTGCATTTTTATTCTGCCCAGCAACAAAAAAAGAAAGAAAAAAAAGAAAAAAAAAAGCTGAACAAAACGCAAAACGAATCAAAAACGCATGTAGAAAGATGCAAAACGACCTGCAAAAAGCACTGCAAAACAAAGAAAAAGCAAACTGCATAGGTGTGAAAGGCACCTAAGGCCTGGTTCACATCAATGCGTTTTTTAGTGCTTTTTGCAGAAACACTCTAAAGTCCATTTGACATGTTCTTATCTATGCTATTTTGAGCTGCTGCATTTTTGGAAAGGGTCAGGGACTTTTTTAAACACAAAAAGCAACATTTTTGGTATAATAGACGGCAATGGAGATACAGCAGAAAACAATGTAGTGCGTTTTTTGCTTTTTTAATCTGCCCAAGTTGACCAAAAAAAAAAACGTCAAAAACGCACATGAAAAAAATGCAACGCAAAAAGCATTGCAAAACAGACAAAAAGCACACGGCATTCCTGTGAACCAGGCCTAAAAGGGCTCCCTACAGCTCAAATTTTGGTCAGTTCATTAGGAATAGGAAGAAAATCAAGCTGTGTATTACCAGCTTTATTTACAGAGTGGTAGAAGCTAGATCTACAATAACCATGTACAACTGGCTATGGAATTTCAGCAAGCTCAAGGTCCACAACTTACATCCAGCTATTAGGTGAAAGGTGGCCTATTAGTGAAAAGTGAGATCTGTATATATTAGTGCACCCCCCTACAGGCTGACCCCACCCAGACCCAACACTACACAACAAATGCAGTCAGCATGCATCTAACCACTTGCCTACCGGGCACTGATACCCCCTTCTTTACCAGGCCAATTTTCAGCTTTCAGCACTGTCGCACTTTGATTGACAATTGTGCAGTCATGCAAGATTGTACCCATATGAAATTTTTATCATTTTATTCTCACAAATAGAGCTTTCTTTTGGTGGTGTTTAATTGCCGCTGGGCGCTTTACTTTTTGCGCTATAAACAAAAAAATTGCAAAAAAAAAAAAAAAAAAAGTTTGTTTCTATAATAAAACTTTTCAAACAGGTAATTTTTCTCCTTCACTGATGTGCATTGATGAGGCAGCACTGATGCGCACTGATAGGCGGCACTGATAGGCAGCACTGATGGGCACTGATAGGCAGCACTGAAGGGCACTTATAGGTGGCACTAATGAGGTGGCACGGATAGGCGGCACTGATATGTGGCACTGATTGGTGGCACTGATAGGCGACACTGATAATGGGCACTGATAGACAGCACTGATAGGTGGCACTGACTGACAGCACTGCTGGGCACTGACTGGCAGCACTGCTGGGCACTGACTGGCAGCACTGCTGGGCACTGACTGGTGGTACTGACTGGCAGCACTGCTGGGCTGCACTGATGGGCACTGGTGGGTGGCACTGGTGGGCACAGGTGGGTGGCACTGGTGGGCACAGGTGGGTGGGCACAGGTGGGTGGCACTACTGGGCACAGGTAGGTGGCACTTCTGGGCACAGGTGATGACACTGCTGGGTGGCACAGGTGGTGGCACAGGTGGGTGCACTGCTGGGCACAGGTGGGTGCACTGCTGGGCACAGGTGGGCGGAACTTGTGGGTGGCACTGCTGGGCACCGATCATCAGGGCACTGATAATCGGTGCCCTGATGATCGGTGCCGATCCCCGCTCTGACAACTGCCGGTTCTCGGCAGTACTTTCTTCACGATCTGACAGCGTGAGGAAAGTGCAGTCGAGAACCGGCAATTGCATTTCCCTGTGATCAGCGTGTCATTGGACACGGCTGATCACGTGGTAAAAGGCCGCTGTGATTGGCCTTTTCATATGCTTTTTTTGAGTTTGGGCAAGGACACAGGGGCCCCATGATCCCCTATTGCCCAGGGGTCCCATGAGTTGTCAGTCCGCCCCTGGTGGAAAGGCTCCAATTTCACTACTTTCCTACCTCCAGGACCCATCAGTGGGGAGGGGGATGTCAAAGGAATGCCATATCCCTGTGAAAGGGAACGCATTTGCAGAATATTACGGCTTGCAGAGTTTAATACAAACCTTTTTTTTATAACTGGCAGAACACAGACAGCTCACTACTTAAAGGTAAGAAGATAAAAAATATCCAAATGTCAAAATGATTCTGAAAAATAAATTGCACTCTGCAGTTTTCTCTCTGCCCTGTGATGAACTGTATCAGTGGCGTAACTAGAACCTTCAGGGTGCCAGTGCAAGAAACCCCCCCACCGACCCCCAGCTGGGGCTCTGCTCTCCAAGCCAGTGGTGGAAGTGCAACCTTTGTGACCCTGGTAGTTCCGCCAGGTGTCAGTAGTTTTTTTTTATGTTATTTTTTCATAATTTTTTAAACTTTTTTTTATTTTTACATTTATTATTATTATTTTAGCTGTACAAAATGAATGGACAGGAATAGTTCTGTACAGAGTCTCCCCTCCATTCACAGACTGAACCATAGTAATCATTGTTTACTATGCTTTAATTATGAATGGACAGTCAGTGATCGGTACAGATCACTGACTCTGTCCATTCAGAAAAGGAAGGAGGTGTCAAGGTCCTACCTTTCCTCAGAGATTGTGTTGCTCCATGTGCTAGCATCCATCTTAGGTTTCTGCAAAGCATGGTGGGAGCCTTTATGCTTTCAGGCCTCTGCGGCTCCTCCTCCAGAAGGGTGTGGCTGATCACATTTAAGCCTGCTGTCTGCAGTGGCTCTTTGCATTCGTGTCCTGTATGTTTCATTGCAGCAAGCTCTTGTTCAGCTCTCGTGACTTTCCTGGAAACCGACTCGGCTTTGACAAGACTATTCTTTGCCTTATCCAATTACCTGTCCTCCTGTTGCTGACCCCGGCCCGTGACCTGAGTATTCTTGCCTACCGTCTTGTACTATCTGTTCCGCTGTTATCGACCCGGCCTGTCTGACCACGCTATACGTCTTCCCATCTGGCCCACCAGTTATACGCGATTGGCGGCAGCCGTTACCGCAGTTGGGGTTACTCGGGGGCCGCGACCTGGTCTCAGGCTGCGTCAAGTACATCCCCACCATCAGGGGCCCTGGTGAAAGGAAGCCTGGGGCTTAGACTCCGCGCCCTGTGGGACTGCGGTCTGTGGGTGGTGGCTGTCGTCAGTCGGTGCGTGACCTTACCATAAGGCCTGTCTGCCCATACTACTGCTCCTGCCCTGACAGAGGGCTGGTAAATTACATATTTACTGGCTCCTTCTCCGACAGGAGAGGGGAGGGGGGAACCCGGCACCCGGCAGACGAAGGGGACCAGTAGAGAGCAGGGGACTACGAAAGCGCTCAGGGGGGCTGGAGCTCACACGGGGGGAGCAGAAAAAGGCTGGATAGGAGAAGCAGCAGGGGCGGCTGCATGTGGATTAACTGATCTCTCCATGTTCCTCCTGCAGCCGCTGAATGCCAGCCTTTCCTCCTCTCCCTACCACAGGCATTCAGTGGCCCCAGGAGGAACATGGAGATATTAGTTCCTCTATATGTAGCCGCCCCTGCTGCTCCTCCTATCAGGGCATACAGGGGAGCCACACAGGCCCCCTGCAGCATGGGACCAGGTCACAATTGTGACCCCTGTAGGTTTGCCCCTGAACTGTATCCAGCATATGCACTGGATCTGCATAACATCTGTACAAATGCAGAAAACATCTGTTCAACAAAAATGAACGATCTCAAAACACATACAGTAACTTCTGCAGGCTGAATGAGAAAAAAATCAATAGATTCCTCCATCTATGCTAAACAGTATGCATGAGGAAATTTCCATAGCCAGCCATTGTATTCTTACAGCCATGACATCTACGGCTGCCTGAATACCCAAACAGTGACACCAGCTGATAGAGTGCAATTACCGTTCAGCTGACAATCTTCCAACCGGCTCAGCTGATTTTTAAATTGTCTTTTGTCGAGATGGGTGGTGCTGATGGGGCTACTCAGGGCTAAAATTTCAGCTGATTTAGAACAGAAACAATTGAGTACTGTCCGTGATACTTTTTTTATTTGCACTAACAAACAATTTTACGGACAAGCTTTTGGGGAGTGTCCCCTTCTTCAGGTCGAAGCAGTACTGATCACAAAGGGTTAGAAGAGATGTTTTGGAGTTGGAAGGAAAAAAAAAAAAAAAAAAGAGAACAGATAAGATAAGACACAGCAAAAGCAAAGTCTGGGAAGGGGGGAGACTACACTCACAGAGGCAGTGATGCTTGAGGTGATAAAACTGTTAGATAATGAGTGAGGAATCCCATGTCCAAATTCAGGCCGTTATCTCTTGTGTCAGATAGAATTATCATTCTTAGTTCATAAGTTTTTCTTTCCTGGATGGATTTGAAATTTCTTTTAAGAACTAAAATATTGAGGCTGCAAACTGTGCACCAAATCAATCCACTCAAAAGGGATCTTTAATATCTCCGGATCATACAGCTGCACCTCCAGTAATGTTGTGTACCTTATCCAGTGCAGAAAATGTAACAAAGGATCCTATGCTGGCGAAACAGGACTGAAGTTACAAACAAGGATGAATTTGCACAGACATACCATCAAGGAACATAAAGAAGATGACTTTTGCACACCTGTGGGACACCATTTCACACAACCAGACCACACAATGGGAGACCTCAATATTTTAGCTCTTAAAGGAAACTTCAAATCCATTCAGGAAAGAAAAACTTTTGAACTAAGAATGATAATTCTATTTGACACAAGAGATAACGGCCTGAATTTGGACATGGGATTCCTTACTCATTATCCAACAGTTTTATCACCTCAAGCATCACTGCCTCTGTGAGAGTAGACTTTGCTTTTGCTGTGTCTTATCTGTTCTCCTTTTTTTTTTTCCTTCCAACTCCAAAACATCTCTTCTAACCCTTTGTGATCAGTACTGCTTCGACCTGAAGAAGGGGATACTCCCCAAAAGCTTGTCCTTAAAATTGTTTGTTAGTGCAAATAAAAAAAGTATCACGGACAGTACTCAATTGTTTCTGTCGCAAGTGCACTAATACGGCTACAATCACCTCAAGCTGATTTAGAAGGAATTTGCCTAAATTCAAGCCGTGTATGGCAGAAACCTACCGAAGGTGAGCAGAAATTCTCTCATAGTTTAATCACTCAGGCATATGCATATTTTCTGCATGCTGGCAGAGCTAGCAGAAGATCCTTCTCAAAAGAGAGCATGAGACTTCAGGGATGCCTGCAGGGCTGCCGATAAGGGGCTACCTCTGGTCTTCCTGTATCGGGTCTGAGCGGCATCAGTTCAACAGGGGGGGGGGTCCAGCCAGTTGACAAGCAGAAGAAAGGGAAACCTGAACTGGAGGGGATCAGTGCGGCGGGGTGGCATTTACTGGAACCGATCCCCTATAGTCCTCCCCTGCAGCAGCTTGTTGGGTAGGTGTAGCGTGGTGTGTCGGGCAGTAAGCACACAGAGTCGTGGTTTGCAAAAGGTGATGTATTGTAAAAGTGACTCAACAGTACAAACAGTCCCAGCGGGGAGGCTTACCCGACTGAAAGCACTCACAGGACGGCAGTGCAGGAATAGCGGTAGAAAGACTTAATGATGCCGACAGGTCTGTCGCAAGGATGGGAGTGTGGCCTGGATAGTCAAACTCAAAGGGAAAGCTTCCTGAGAAGGTAGACTTAGTCCCTGCTCATTCCCTATTTCTCTAGAACCTGTCCCTGTTGCTAGCACTGTTCCTGACAGATATGAAACCTGCCCCTATTCTAGCCACTTGCAAAAAGCATGCCAAAGCCCAGAGTCAGAGTCCTAAATAAACTCTGCTTGACCCAAGATGGCCGCCCAGGTCATATGGAACTAGAGCATCCAATTGGCTCACTGTCCTGTGTGACAAAGGAAGTCCTAGAGAAACCTAGTTTCCCTCCATTTCCTCTCCCCATCTGCATTGCCACTGTGGTCCAGCGCCACCAGCAGTGGAAAAAAACAAAATGCACTTGCCTACAAGCTGAAATCCAGCTACTCTCCTCTGTCTTCTGCTGGCTTTCAGCTGCTGTAGGGGAGGACTATAGGGGATCAGTTCCACTAAATGCCACCCGGCCTCACCGATCACCCCTTACTGGGTGTAAATGGGCTACAATATGCCAAAAAATAAATGAACATCCTACAAATCTGCTCAGTTTTTTTTTAATACCTGATGGGACCCCTTGACTGCATAGATCATTTTCTGGAAAAGGTAAACTTAATACAATGCATGTAAACGCGCAACATTCTGTGGGTGTGTTAAAGGGTAAGTTCATCTTTTCCAAAAAATAACCTGCAAAGTCAAGAAGCCCCAGTGGGTATAAAAATATGGCTTTGTGAAATGTTAATTCATTTTATTGTTATATCTGTAGGCCATTGGACCCTCATGGAAGCATGGCTGAAAAAACTCCCAGTTAGCAACCCCCATGTTCTGCCTTATTGCTAGGGTGCTCACTCCCAGCATCACCAATGGTTTTTGTGTCTTAGCAACAAGTTTGTCGCCATTCTGCAAGCGTGCGCAATTTTAAAGCATGATATGTTAGGTATCTATTTACTCTGTGTATTACCATCTTTTATAATTTACCAATTGGGTATTATATTGTGTTTGTGTGCATTAAAATTCATTAAAGTGTATTTTTTCCAAACAATTTCCGTAAAATATTGCTGCACAAATATCCTATGACATAAAAAAAATGCAAAATCCACCATTTTATTCTCTATGGCCTCTGCTGAAAAAAGATATATATATATATATATATATATATATATATATATATA